CACGGAGTATGACACTTGTGCGTGAGAGTGACGTAGCGCACGCCCAGGTCGTACAGTGACCGCAGAACGCCCATGCTGCTGCCCAACCCATGGCCGCCCTCCACGCCCATGAGACTGGCAACACGCCCACGCTTGAACTCCTCCTGAATCCCTGTGGGTGGAAAAAAATGTGAAAATTTATCCTGGAAAACGTTTTTTATATTTAATAATTCATTTATCCTGGAAAACGTTTTTTAATATCTAATAATGCATTTATCTTGGAAAACGTTTTTTATATCTAATAATTCATTTATCCTGGAAAACGTCTTTTATATCTAATAATTCATTTATCCTGGAAAACGTTTTTATATCTAATAATTCATTTATCCTGGGAAACGTTTTTTATATCTAATAATTCATTTATCCTGGAAAACGTTTTTATATCTAATAATTCATTTATCCTGGAAAAACTTGTCTTTTGTGTATTATCTAATTCCATTTCCTAGTCCTTGGTGTTTCGTGGGGAAAACGTTTTTTTAGTCTAATAATTCACTCATCCTGGAAAACGTTACTTTTTATATCTAGTGGGATAATCTATTCATCTGAACTTGTTTATAATAACTCTAATAATTCATTTTATCCTGTGAAAACGTTTTTTTTATTATTAATAATTATTTATCCTGGATTGTTTTTTTTTTATTATAATCTCATTTGCAATTTTTGTTGTTCCTTTAAGACCGACAATTATATTTACTCTGGAGTAAAAAAGATGCGAGTGTTTAGTTTTCTACCTGTTTTTGCATTTGTGTAAAGTAAATCTTTTAATCTGTAAATGCTCGATATCGTTAAAAATATGCGTCTGTTTTATTTGCCGATGTAATATAAGAGCTTTATATTTTGATTTCAAAGTTTTTAATTTTTTTTCTTTAGTGGAATATCTGTTTGCTTTTAATCATTTGCTATAATTATGCAAACCTTAATGTTATTTTTTCTCATATATGTATGCATATGCTGTGCTCTTGCAGGTATATATATTCCGCTTATCTCTCTCCTTTTCATACACTCTCTCTCACTCTACCCAAATCATATAGCTCTTTTTTTCTCTATCTGTATGCATATGTGTGCAAGTTTAGATATATTTTCTCATTCTTTCACTTCCCTCTGCCCCTCTCTTTCTGTTTCTTTCGCTTTCACTGTCTCTCTGTATTTCTCTCTCTTTTTCTCCCTTTATCTCTCTCTACCCCCTCTCTTTCCTCCTCTTCTTATGTCCATCTCTGTTCCTCCACCTTTCTCCCTCAATCTCTCTCTCCTCTCCCCTCTTCCTACTGCGTCCCCCTCCCCATCCCCTTTTCTTATATTCCTCCTTCCTTCTTCTTCTTCCTTCCCTCCCTCTCCTTCTTTCCACTCTTCTCTCTCTTCTCATTCTTCTCTTAAGCCCCTTATTCTCTCTCTCCTTTTTTTTAACACCTCTTTCAAGTTCATCACCAACGCCTCTTCCCCCTCTTACTCTCCTTCCTCTCGCCCCCTCATTCTCTCTCTCTCTCCTCAACTTTTTGACGCTCTCTTTCCAAGTTAATCACCAAACGCCTCTTTCCTTCCCTCCCTCCCTCCTCCTCATTCATATATATATATTTTTTTGACAGTTCTTTCAAATCATCACCAACGCCCCCCTCCCTCCTCCTCTTCATCTCTCTCCTTTGGGTATACCTCTTTCAAGTCTATCACCACCGCCTTATCCTTCTTTCTTTCACCAGTCTGTCTCTCTGCCTCTTTCCTTCCCTCTACCTCCTCTCACCTTTTTTAATACCTCTTTCAAGTCATCATCACTGCCTTCTTCCATTTCCTTTTCCTCCTTATTCACCTCCTTTTTTTTGATCACCGATCTTTCAAGTCGAGGTGCGATCCACTGTCTCCTTCCCTCCTCTTCCTACCTACCATTCTATTTCCTCTTTTTTAACACTCTCTTCAAGTACGGGATCACTCGATCTCTTCAGTCTATACTCATTCATAAGAGTCGATTTTTATCTTCAGCTGATATCTCCTCATTATCAATCGAGTTTTGAGGAGATGTAGTCTAATCTAGGCATAACCTCTCTCAGGCCGTTCTCTTTGTCTGTTATGATTTGTTGATTTGGGGTGTTTCTTTATGCCCGTAAATATTCCTTTTTACGTTCGTATGACTTGTATACCGTTTTATTACTCTTGCTGTAGTTAGGCGGTCTCTTGTTCTTTACTGCCATGTTCGGTCATTACTTTTTGGTAGGATTAGTTAGATTGACTGTCTATGGCTTCCTGTTGTGGGGGCAGCTCGTGTTTTGATTATTATTATTATTATCCCTGCCATTATATGTGTCGAAGGGGTTCTTTTATGTTTGAGATAGTGGATTACGTAGTGTCTAATCTATGGATGATGAGTTCTTAGACGGAGGGGCTGGACAGCATCCACATTGACAATTCTTCATATGAGACAATATGTTTTCAGGATAGCTATTTTTTTCTCTATTTGTATGCATATGTGTGCATGTATATATATTTCTCGTTCTTCTCACTTCCCTCCCCCTCTCTTTCTGTCTCTTTCGCTTTCACTGTCTCTCTCTCTCTTCTCTCTTTTCCCATTTATCCTTTTTCTTTTTCCTCTCCACCTCTTCTTCTGCCCATCTTCTTCTCCCATTTCTCCACCTTTTTCTCTCTCTCTCCTCTCTCTTCTCTTCCTACTCTCCCTCCTCCCCATTCCCCCATTTTTTATTCCTCCTTCCCTCCCTCCCTCCTCCTCATTCATCCCCTCTTCTTACTCTCCCTTCCCTCCCCCCCTTCTCTCTCTCTCCTCAACCCTTAGCTTCTTACTCTTTCTCTCTTTTTCACACCTCTTTCAAGTCATCATCAACGCCTCATTCCCCCTCATTCCTCCCCCCTTCCTCACGCTCCCTCATTCTCTCTCCTCAACTTTTTGACACTTCTTTCAAGTCATCACCAACGCCTCCTTCCCTCCCTCCTCCTCATTCATCTCCTTTTTTGGCACCTCTTTCAAGTCATCACCAACGCCTCACTTCCTCCCTCCTCCTCATTCATCTCCTTTTTTGAAACCTCTTTCAAGTCATCATCACTGCCTCCTTCCCTCCCTCCTCCTCATTCACCTCCTTTTTTCTGACACCTCTTTCAAGTCATCACCACCGCCACCAAAGCGATCTCAGCGACCTCATCACCACGAGAGGGAGAAGGGTCACAGGCCATAACCTCTCTCGGGCGCGATGCGAGGCCGTCTGTCTGGTGTCTTTATGCCCGTAAATCCCTTTCAGTCTGTGATTTGTTCCGTTATCTTTGCGTGCTCTCTTTATCTTTATGCATTCATTACTTTTATTATACTGATGACTCGAGCTTCCTTTATCCTCGTTATTATCCTTATTGCTATCTTTAGCTTTATTATTATTACGTTATTATCATTATTATCACTGTTAGCATCATATTTCACCGTTAATTTTCTCGCAACTTTTTTTTTTCTTTTGGAAAGAGAAGCAAGGAGGGAAAGGAGGAAAAGAGAAGGAAAAGAGAAGACCATTGAAATGCAAAAGAAGGTTAGGGGGAGAAAAGAGGAGAAAAGGAGAATGAGAAAAATAGGAAGAGGAAAATAAAAAGACAGAAAGGGGAAAATAAAAAGATAGAAAGAGGATAAATATTTAGAAGAAGAGGGAAGGGGTATTGAAAAAGACTGCAAAAAGGAGAAAAATGCATAGGCGAAGAGCGGAGGAATATTGAAAGAGATAGAAAGAAGGAGAAGACACAGGAGAAGAAGGGAGGCATACTGAAAAATAGAAAGATAGGAGAAAAGGGGAAGAGATATTGAAAAAGATAGAAAGAAGGAGAAGACAAAGAGGGGAGGGATAATGAAAAAAAAAAAAAAAAAGAAATGACAGAAGAACAAAACATAAGGGAAAGAGGAAGATACAGGAGTGGAGAAAAGGAAATTAGGAGGAAGAGGAGCAGGAGAATAAGGTGGAGAAGGAGGAGGAAGGAATGGAGGAGGAGGTGAAGGAGGAGAAGAAGGAGAAAGAAAGGAGGAGGAGGAAGGGAAGAGGAAAAGGAGAAGGAGGAAGGGAAGGAGGAGAAGGAGGGAAGTGAAGGAAGAAAGAAAGAAAGGAGAGGAGAGAGCAGGAGGAAGAGGAGGAAGGAAGGAAGAAGAAAGAGAAAGAAGAAGAGGTGGGGCTGGTTGTGTAAGATGGAGATGGGCGAGATAGGGAGAGGAAGAGAGGGGGAGAGAGAGAAAAGAGATAAAGATAGGAAAGAACGGATCAGGAATAATGGAATGTAAACAGAGGGAAAGGGGCGGGGAGAGGATTCTATACAGGCCCCAAAAAAATGAAAAAAAAAGATGAAGGAAAGAAAAGGCGGTAGAATACGGGGAAAAAGTATATAAGAATAGACAAAAGCGGGGAGATAAAATTTAATACATTCCCTCTTCATTTTCAACCTCTTCCCTTTTCATCCTCATTATCCTCCTCCTCCTCCTTACCATCATCCTCTTTGGCACCATCACCATCCTTCCTGCCTATCCTCGTTCTTCCACTTTCCATGACCCTCTTCCACGCCCCTCCTCCCTCCTACCCCCTACCCCGCCATAGACATCCTCACCACACACCCCTCCCCCCACCCTTACGATCCCCCTCACCCCTCTCCCTATCCTCACCACACCCCCTCCCCCACCTTCAACACTCCCCCCTCCTCCCTCCTCCAACCTCACCACACCCCTCCCTCCCCCCTCTCCCCTATCCTCACCCCACCCCCTACCCCCTACCCCCTCCCCCCCCCCCCACCTTCAACCACTCCTCCCCTCCCCCTCTCCCCCCTCCAAACTACTCCTCGGCAAGTCTGTAGTGGTGATGAATAGCTGATTCGCCCGAGGCACAACCTGGCTCTGAACTGCACTGCTTATCTGCATATTCAGCGAAGGGGAAGGTCGGGGGGGGGGAGGTAGGAGGTGGAGAGGGAGAGAGAGAGGGGAGGAGGGAGAGGGGAGAAGGAGAAGGGAGGGAGAGGGGAGGAGGGTGTGCAGGAGGAGGAGGTGACGTGATTCAAAGCAAGGCTAAGAGAGTGAGGTAAAGACGGAATGAGAGAGAGAGAGAGAGAGAGAGAGAGAGAGAGAGAGAGAGAGAGAGAGAGAGAGAGAAGAGAGAGAGA